CCTAAAAATATAACCCCTTCAATTCATGAAATTTATATAAAGTGTTACAAAATACATACAATCAACATTTTATCTTTATGTGGCCACTAAAGTAAAGTGTTATTTTTTCGTTTTTGGTTTGAACTGGTTCTGATTACTTCGTTCAGTTTCAAAGATAAGGCACTGTTCGTTATAATAATAAATCGAACCGGATGTGAAAAAAAATCAATTTAATATCGCTATAAAACGAAATGAGCAACGATACCCAATAAAATTCTTACCGGTTCCGTTATGAAAAAAGGAGGTGACAGGTCTTTTCCAACGATTCGCATGGTTCGCATGACGTTATTATGAAATGGTTTCGAATTCATTCATACTGATGCACTATTAGATCGAGTATTTGTGCAAATTAATCTAATTTATGACCCGTAGACTCAATAAACGATAAATTAGGCGGTTGATAACATAATAGGCGTCTAAACTATGCCCAATGGTCTGCTTACTGCTTATTTTGGACTAAATATAGATTGATTTTAATTTATGGACGTTTATAATACAGATAAAGTACATAATACCGCCAACGGGGACCACGGACGGGCCACTTGAAATGTCCCATTAAGAAACTACTTATGGAAATGCGGACATGTGTCGTTGACTGTTTTTTGTATAATCAACTTGGCCGATACTTGATGTCAATTCACTTCGATCTGAGATTTTTATTTCAACAGTTCACTGAACTCATGTTTCACTATGCAATGGTTTCTTCAGGTTCAACTAATACTGAACTGAAATCACATAATAAATGGAATTGTAATTAAAAATCAAGCTCTGTTCTCAAACTCCAGAACTGAAACACCCTTCTCGGATATGTGCTGTGTGTTCTTTGAAACGAGTTCCAAAGGCTCGCTTAGTCTGACCAATATATTTTTTGTCACAGACATCTTGTTTTAGGGTCGTTACCAAACATTTTTTGAAGGGAGCAAGAAGTTTTGGACACTACTTTTACGTGCAACTATTGTAATAAATAATTTTACCTATGAAAAAATTGTAACTGTAACATCAGTAATCATTATAATGTATCGAAGTGTTCCCCACATGTACCAAACTCATCAAAAACCAAGCTTATAATATTTTCTATGGAAAAATATCCAGCAATGAGTTTAAAATTCATTCTTGGGTAACAATTTGACTATTGGGTATTTGAAAAATATATTTATATGATAACTATATAAGGTCTGTTCAAAAATAAGGTAAATGTTCAAATTTTGCGGGCTACGAACAATCGATTAGCAATTAAAAAGTTGTTGGTATAGTCGAAGTAAACGATATTGTGCACACTTAAAGTTGGCGGCACCCTCAAAGGCCAAAAACACAAATATATAGAAATGAACCGGCTGCGATAATTTTTAGTAGCAGAGTTTTATGATTGGCTGAAGAGTCATAAAATTAAATTTTGAGTCATGTTACGGTGACGAATAAAAATCGGGGAATGTGGGCATGGTTATCGCCGTCGTGTCATCAATGTTCAGTTCAGGAACTTATCGCGATTTTGAGTGTTAATATTCGGTATTGATGCAGTTACCTGTTTGAAATGTGGCGTCCTCGGACAAGTACTAATAGTAATAACGAGTGTGATAACATCGCAGACTTTTTCCAGTGTAGTGATTCCAATAGCGATGGCGAACAATGCGAAAAAGAGATACCAATGAATAAGATTCGGATTCATTTGAATATTAAAACACAGAGAACATGTTTCAATGTATATAAGAATCTACATCTCAAGTTTGGTTTCGAGGGAAATAAACTATTACAAGCAACATCAGATTTGACCGAAATTCCTTTCTCAACTGTACGTAAAATAGTCAAAAACAAACCTGATGAACGCAAGACGAGATGTGATACAAGACTACCAAAATCTTTAGATGTTCATCCAATAAAATCATTGAAAAAAACAATATACGACTGTTACAGGTCAGTCGGTAGCCAAGCGGTTCGGCGTGGGTGCTTTGTTCACTCACTCGAATTGAC